ATCTAATTCTCCCAACAACATTGTGAGAAAAGCAATCAGGCATTATTTTTTCCATCTTATACACAAAGTAACAGAGGATCAATAAATTGAATTGATTTGCCCAAGATCACACAGCTAGAGTGGTAGAGACCAGATCTTCCTAACATCCAATCTAGTCTTTTTTCTACTATACCATAGTAATTTGATTACTACTGCCAGCCTCACGACCGCTATTTTATTAATGGGTAAAATGAGGCCAAGAGACAAGTCATTTAAGGTCAAAGAGAGCAGTGCCAATTTGGAGATTAGGAACACCTGACTTGTTCACTAAGTCATCCTGCCACACTGCTGGACCACGGCCCATATTTAAAGCTATGAGTTCCATCATGTGAATTACCAGTAAGCATTTAGGAGGCAGAACGCTTCACTGGGCCCAGGAGCATATCATCTCCTGTAGTTCGCTAGGTTTCCGATAAGCAATCTGTGCCTTTCATTGCTTTCCTGGGAGGTTGTAACAAGACTATTCCTCATCAGACAACTTTCTTTTTACTTTCTCTCTATCCAGTTTATTTTGGTATCTCTGTCACTGTCCTTTCTTTCATTTATTTTTTTGTTTATTTAATTCCTTTACCTTGTTCAAGTTAAAAAAAAAACAGACCTTTACCTAGGGTCTGTCAGAGGTAACTGTGGGTACAACTTAGGTATACTGGTAACTAGAAGTGTTAAACAGAGTGCTAAAGTATATTAGCTACTTTTAAATGCACTGTATATTTGTAAGTAAAATCCTAAGATAACGATGTTGAAGCAAGGGTAAGCAAAATTCGTGAGGGCAAGGGTTAATAGTGGAAAAGCAGAGATGAGCAAACCTTTTCTAGAAGGACATGTCAGAATTTCCACTGAAGCATGGGTATTTGTAAAAACATATTCTTTATGTGTTTTACAGTTTATTTCTTTACATTGACAGAAACTATAGGAAATAAAAGCTGATAAAACTTTTCTTGGCTGATGTGGTTACATAGAAAAAGGATTGTAGTTAGCATGGATTTTAAGGTTTAAGAAAAACTATTCCAGCATTCAGTCTAAAATATTCATTTATTCATTCAACAAATATTTATTAAGAACATTCTATGTGCCGGGTACTGTTCTATGTGCTAGAGGTAGAACATTAAACAAGATAGACAAAATCCCTATAGTCATGGCACATGCACAGGAATCTCTTTAAAATAATCTGCATAAACAAAAGAATGTCAGTGCCAAGAAGAAAATGGAATGAAATAACGTGGAAGAGAATGAGTGAGGTGGGGGAAGTTCTACATTAGATAAGATAGTCATGGAAGACCTATCTGAGGAGGTGACATTTGATCTGAGATGTGATTGATCAAAAGAAGTTAACCAGGTGAAAATCCTGGAGAAAAGCCCTCTAGGCAAGAGCCCTGAATTGGGAACAAGCTCTGTGTGTTTGAAGAACTGAACAAAGCCTGTGTGGCTGGACCATAAAGAGAGAGGGTGAGACAAGAAGATGTTGGAGAGAGGGGCAGGATCCAGATCATCGAGGCTTTGTAGACTACAATGAGGAGTTTAGATTGTTTTGTAAATGCTATAGTGTGAACCTGATGGATGATTTTAAGTAGGGGAATGATATGATTTATATTTTAATCATTTTGACTGCAATGAAGAAAGGGTTTGTAGCTAGGCAAGAATGGGAGCAAAGAGATGAGTTAAGAGAATAGTACAAAAACCTGGGTGAAAGATGATGGCAACATGAACCAGGGTGACAGCAGTAAAGGTAGAATGCTCAGATTTGGGATACTCTGGAGATAGAACTGAAAATAGTTGGTGGCAGATTGCATTGTGGATGGGAAAATAGGCATTGAGGGAAAGAAATGAATTAAGGACAGCCTCTGTATTTCTGCCCTGAGTAACTAACTGGACAGAGATTGATTGCATAAATTGAGATGAGAAAGAGCAGATTTAGGGCATGGAAAAAATGTTATTACACGTTAAATTTGATGTTTTAAGCATTTACATCAAAATAAAGATGGTTAGCATTCATTTTACTTATTTACTATTTGGTGTTCACGTCATACCAGTTTATGAACATATTGCAAAATTGGCTATTATCTCTTATATTCATTACCTTCTTTCCAAGAATTAAGAAGCAGTAATCGTACTCGCTTCCTGAGCCCCATGAATGTTCCTGATACACCCCTACTACTTCAACACATTGACCGCCCATTGAAGTTACTTACAAAGCCCATTGATGAGTGTGATTTATGCATGTGAAAATCTTGATTGTATTTGTTGTTCACAGGAGAGTTTTACATTACACGGCATTCTAATCTCTCAGAAATCCATGTTGCTTTCCATCTTTGTGTGGACGACAATGTGAAGTCAGGAAACATCACTGCTCGTGATCCTGCAATTATGGGACTCCGAAATATACTCAAAGTTTGCTGTACCCATGACATCACTACAATAAGCATTCCTCTCTTGCTGGTGCATGATATGTCAGAAGTAAGCAGATAAAAACATCCCATAATTTTGTGAATATGTTAGCCCTCAATATTTTATAATAATCCGCTTTACATTTATATTTTAAAGGCACTTTTTTTTTAACTAATGGACCTTCACGTCTCCTGACCTGGTTAATAGAATTGAGTGACATATGGTACAAAACAGTGAATAATTGTTACCCACTTATGTTCAGAGGATTATAGCCTTGTCCTATAGTAGGTAAACTAGAACATCAAAATAATTTTTAGCTTTGGATAAGGTATGTGCCCCTGCTCCTCCTCCTCCTCCCTGTCCTTCTCCATCTTCTCCTCCTCCCCCTCATCTTCCTCCCTCTTCTCTTCTATTTTTGTCTTAAGTTGCATTAGATTTACCTTCACATATATATTTGGCTGAGGCTAACATTAAAATTAGTTTGCATTCTCTAGGTATACATTAATAGGAAATGGAAACAGATGCTAGATGACAGGAAGAGCTTGGTTTAACCTTTTCTCAAGGATGCTCTTT